GTCTCAAACCCGGGGCTCAGGCAATCCACTCACCTCAGCCTCCCAAAGGCGCGGGATTACAGGCTGAGCCACCAAGCCCAGCTGGCTCACACTCCTAATCCTAACACTTTGGGAGGCTGAGACAAGAGGAGTGCTTGAGCCCAGGAGTTCAACACCAGCCTGGACAACATAACAGCACCTCATCTTCACAAAAAACTAAAAAATTAGCCAGGCATGGTGGTGTGTGTCTGTAGTCTCAGCTATTTGGAAGGCTGAGGTGGAAAGAGCACCTGAGTCCAGGAGGTCAAGGCTGCAGTGAGCCATGCTCCGTATCACTGCATTTCAGCCTGGGCAATAGAGTGAGACCCTGACTCAATAAACCAACCGACAAACAAAACAATACACATAAAAACATGTATAAGGTTTTTAAAAAGTCAGGTGATTAAGATCAAACCTGTATTTGTTGAATACTTTAGGTCATTGAATCAGAAATTGGGAGAATTAGGAGCCTATTTGGGGAGATAGGGCACAAGTTAAAATAGCTAATACCATTAGATGATTCTAAAAAAGACATCACAAAGCAGCATGTCCATTCATCTGTGCCTTTGTGCCTTTCTAAGATGCTACTTTAGCAGAGACCTGAAGAAAGTAAGAGAATGAGATGTGCAGGAACCTGGGGCAGAAAGACTAGTAAGCACAAAGTTACTGAGGCAGGAGCTTGCTAGGCTCAAAGGCGGCCAAGTGAGTGGTAGGTTGCATCCTAGAAGGGGCAGGCATCAGTTCATGCCCAGCCTTACTGGTCCTGTTTAAAGAACCCTACCTCAGACTCCAAATGAGATGGGAGGCCATTACGTGAACACTACAGTGGTATGTCCCCTCAAATTGGAATTTCTCAGTGAACAACACATGGCAGGCCACCACACTCATGAAGTCTAAATTCTGTTGGGAGAAACATACATTAAAAAGCCATGACACACAGTAAAACAAAACAGTTCCAGCTAGACACTGGACTACACTGATGAGTAGGCCATGGCCTCTGATGTGCAGGAGCACAGTCCAGCACGGAATGACGTATGGAAGAAATGAAACCAGCCCTGTACAAGACTGTGGAGGTTAAAATGGCAGCCTGCTATTTAGTCTCCAGAAAGCCATCATCGGCTTTCTTCGTCTTTACTCTCAGTACACAAGCATGACTTCAAAAGTCACTACACCCCTAAGCCAAACCTAAGCTTTTCAACACGACCCCTATTTCTCTCCTGGCCTTACCTCTTTACTCCCTGTATATGGCTGTCAAAACGAACTAGTCACAGGCTCCAAATCAGCTATGTTCTTGGCCAGTGGGTTGGAGCCCTAGCTCCCCATTCACTGGCGATGTGACTCTGGGCAAATGACTTCTCTGTGTCCTACTGCCCTCACCTTATCTATCTCACAGGTTATCGCAGCAGCCTGTATAAATACTTAGAATAGTATCTGGTATGTATAAGTGTTCTGCAAATGTTACCTAAAAGGACCGACTGGGGAACCTGCTAAATGCAGACTACTGAGCATGTACCAGAGTTTTGTTCTGTCCGTCTAGAGTGAGGCCTGGCATGTGCATCATGATTCGTCCAGGGGATTCTCGAGAGACGGACTGCAGACCGTGCGCTCCTGAAAAGCCTTTGGGTCTGATGCTTCCTGCCCTGCAGATACTTTACGCACAGCCGGTGCTCCACCTTCCAGACCAGGGCTCTGCTGAGCTGCCACCCACATCCCCACATTCTTAACCTGCTCCCTCCCAAAGTCGGACTTTGGGGTCACCCCTCTGCAATCTCCCCACTCTCTTTGTTCCCACCATCCATCTCCCTCACCCATAAAAACGGCTGCGACTCTGACTTCACTAAGAAGGCTGAGCCCACGTACATAACTTGATACACCCAAGTGCCTTTAATCTCTCTTCTCAGCTCCAAACCCCACTCACCCCGCCCCCATTCCCTTCAGCCGCACAGGGTGAAGCGTGTATCCACCTTTCCAAAGCAAACTTCCTTTCTCTCCTAGACCCTTCCTGCCTTCCTCGGGACCTTGTTCCACCAGTGAAGTTTTCGTTGCTTCACTCTGTCCTCCGGGGGTCACTGGCTCCTACAAACAGGATGGCAACAAAGTCCTCTTGACCTCCAGGTAACTCTCGTCACCACAGGGCTCTCACACTTTTCAAAACAGCAATCTACACACCCTACTTCCCCTTCTCAGGGCTTTTCACCTTGCAACCTTGCTGCCAATCTCTATGCTCAGACTTTTCCGTGACAACCTTTCCACAGTCTTCAACTGCCCTGCCCAGTTTCCCACGGAGCACACGAGTGTGGCTCCTTCCCCAGAACTCTCTGGTTCTCTCCCATCGCTGACTGGCACCACGGTGCTGGACCTTCTCCCCAACAAGCCTTGTAAGCATTAATGTTCCTTAAGATGCAGCACCGTAGCCCCCTCCTTTCCCCTCGACATTCACTCTGTCACCCAGACTGGACTGCAGTGGCCACTCCAGGCCACCGCAACTTCGACCTGTTGGGCTCTGGCGATCCTTCCACCTCAGCCTTCCAAACAGCTGAAACAACAGGCGCACGCTACCACACCTGGCTAATTTTTGATTTATTGTAGAGATGAGATCTCACCAAATTGCCCAGGCGGGTCTCAAACCTGTGGGTTCAGGCAATCCACTCATCTCGGCCTCCCAAAGCGTGGGATTACAGGCTGAGCCGCTGAGCCCGCCCCGACATTCACTTTCACTCTCGGCTTTCAGCTGTTCTAAGCAGACCACCCTTCAATTTGAAACTTCAGCTTTGCCACCAGTTCCAGATCTCCAACTCCCTGCTAAACATCTACAGCAGTATGTCCCCTCGAATCGGAATCTCTAACCCTCATTCTCCATCATCTCACCCCTCAAACCAATACCTTATTTTTATTCTCCCGTTTCTTTGTGGAACACTCACTTTCTGACATGCAGAGCTTGGGGGTATCGCCATGATCTGGTTTGAGATGAGGGTGGGATTCAGAGAAGACTGGAACTAGAAGTTATGTCACCTACAAAGAGTAACACTGAGCACTGAGACGGATAATACTGCTTGAACAAGAATACAGAAAGAGAGGTATTATGTGAGGTGGTAGGCACTGTATTTAGTGCTCAAGGGTAGTGAAAAGCCAGTCAGTGAGTAATCAGTTACCTGTTCCTGACCCACTGGGTGCCTGAAAAAGCAGTTTAGCCGGGCTCGGTGGCTCAGCCTATAATCCCGTGCCTTGGGTGGCTGAGGTAAGTGGATGGCCTGAGCCCGCGGGATCGAGACCCACCTGGGCAACTTGGCGAGACCTCATCTCTACAATAAATCAAAAATTAGCCGGGCGTGGTAGCGTGAACCTGTAGTTCCAGCTACCTGGAAGGCTGAGGCGGAAGACTGCTGGAGCCCAGCGGGTCGAGGCTGCGGTGGCTGGGAGCAGCCACTGCACTCCAATCTGGGCGACAGAGTGAGACTCCAACTCAAAAATAAAAAAATAAAAAAATTAAAAAAGCAGTTTATATTAATTATTTATTTCATATAGATATATAATAGGTTTATAGTTACTATTAGCTATCATTTACTGACTACTTACTACAGGTCTGTGTTAAGCATGTTTTATCCATTAACTCAAACAATTCTACAATAACCCAGCTGTCACCATCTACGAATGAAGAAATGGGAAGTCTTAAGTAACCTCCCCAAAATGATCCAACTGTCATGGCCAAAGCCAGGATCGAATCCTAGTTCCCCAACCCTGGAGTGTATGCTCTTGTACTGCACTATCTCCCATGGAAAAAAGACAAAAAACAAAGCACAAAACTCTCCTTCATGTTAAAATGCAACAAACATTCTAAATCTACAGTGGGCATTTTCTAGCGCTATAGAAATGACAAAGGAAAAAATTCTTTGGAATGACCCCCAGAGTTCTGATGATAAGAAAAGTTATGAAGTATTCCACAATTTACTTTTACTATAAAAATTATAATTATTCATATTATTTTATATAGTTGTCTAAATTACTTTCTGATGTCAATCCTATACCTCTCCTAAAATTATAAAAAGTGTTGCAAAAGGAATTTGTATCTTATATTTTTTATGTCCTATAAATAACAACTATAAATAATGTACCTGAAAGCCGGGCTCGGTGGCTCAGCCTGTCATCCCGCACCTTTGGAAGGCTGAGGTGAGTGGATTGTCTGAGCCCGCGGGTTTGAGACCCGCCTGAGCAGTGAGACCTCATCTCTACAATAAATCAAAAAATCAGCCGGGCGTGGTAGCACATGCCTGTAATTCTAGCTACTCGGAAGGCTGAGGTGGAAGGATCGCTGGAGCCCAGCAAGTCGAGGCTGCGGTGGCGGGGAGTGGCCACTGCACTCCAGTCTGGGCGACAGAGTGAGACTCCAACTGAAAAAAAAAAAAAATGTACCTGAGTTGGGCTCGGTGGCTCAGCCTGTAATCCCACGCCTTTGGGAGGCTGAAGTGAGTGAATTGCCTGAGCCCGCGGGTTCCAGACCCGCCTGGGCAGCGAGACCTCATCTCTACAATAAGTCAAAGAATCAACCGGGCGTGGTAGCGCACGCCTGTAATTCCGGCTACTCGGAAGGCTGAGGCGGAAGGATTGCCGGAGCCCAGCAGGTCGAGGCTGTGGTGGCCGGGAGCAGCCACTGCACTCCAGTCTGGGTGACAGGGTGAGATTCCATCTCAAAAAAAAAAAAAAATAGTGTATCTGGTACCTAATAATAGTAATAATGGGGCAAATATTTGTTTCCTATATGGCAAGCACTATTTTAGGCCCTTTACACTTACTAGTTCATCTAATTCCTATAATAACTGCAATACAGGCACTACTATTATCCACATTTTGCAGATGAGGACAATGAGGAACTCTGCAGATTAAAGATGGTCACTAGCCAGGCGCAGTGGCTCATGGCTGTAATCCCAGCACTTTGGGAGGCGGAGGTGAGAGGACTGCCTGAGCCTAGGGGTTCGAGATCAGCCTGGGCAACTTGGCGAGACCTTGTCTCTACAATAAATCAAAAAATTAGCTGGGTGTGGTGGTGCATGCCTGTAGTTCCAGCTACCTGAAAGGCTGAGGTGGAAGAATCACCTGAGCACAGCAGGTTGAGGCTGCGGTGGCCATGCCACTGCACTCCAGCCTGGGCAACAGAGTGAGACTCTGACTCAAAAAAAAAAAGATAGACACAAATTCTTTGACGCTCCTCCCATGGGGCAGTGGGGTCTAGGCTTCTTCCTTTGAAGCTGAGGACAGTGAAAGGAAAGGCTACAGAGCTGTGCTCATTCCCTGGTACAAGCCTTAAGAGCTGATGGCTTCAGCTTTCCATCTTTTAGAATGCGGGCTCTGTGTAAGATGCCCAACTGGAGAGCACACACCAGAGGGCAAAGGGCTCAGCTGGTCCCAGCCTTCCAGTAGCTCCTTCCCAGGGAAGTATCTCAGACTCTCCAGGGTATCTCCTCTTCCTGCTGAATGCCAGAGTGATTCCAGTCCACACTATGCGGAACTGAAGAGTTGTCCAGTTGATACCTCCTGCCTCAACTCCTGGTTCACAAGACTAAGATAAAATAGGTTTCCAATCATGCAGTTTGGGGGTAGTTTATCACACAACAATAGAGAGAGGATGGTCACACAGCTGATAAAATAAGGAATAGGTAAACAGAGTTGGAATTCAAACGCAGGGAATCTTACTCCAAAGCCAACACTCACACCCACTACTCTGACAGATCCAAGACCTTCCTTTGGTCAGATCAGTTGTCTCTTCCATCTACTGCCTGTGCCTGATTGTCCAGGTAACCCCCCAGAAAGCACTGCATCAAGGCACTGCACAATTCAGGAGTAGTGTGTGCCAGGCAGGATGATATGGTACGACAGAACGACCACAGGGTTCTCTTCCATCTTTGCAGCTAATTCACTTGTGACAACAAGCAAAATTCTTCTGTGAAGACATGGACTATGTCTGTCTTTTTTTTTTTTTAGCTAAGAAAGATAAATTTATTAAAGAGAAGATACACTGTGAAGGGCACAATGGGCTGAACAGCAGGAAGTCTGTCTGCTGTCTACTGCCGACATCTGTCTTACTGATCAGTGTGTCTCTGGTACCCAGCAGAGGGTAAATCTGGGGTTCAGGATTTTTATCTGTCAAAATGGAGGGGTTCCCACTATATTAGATGATATTTAAGGTTTTTGTTCTAAAGGATACAAATCAGCACAAGAAATGTGATGGTGGAGAGATGGACTAAATGGCATCAACAAGGAAAATAAGGGAAGAGAGGAAAGAAATAACAAGTTTAGACCGATGTCAAAGAAGACTCTTGGAGCAACAGCCCTTCTGGGCAGTGAGACGATTCTACCAACTGGGTAAATACCACAGGAGAGAATCTATGGAAGTTTCTTCAGTAGGACCGTGAATAGGTTACTTCTCCAAGGGCCCACAGGTCATGGACCTCAATACCAAACTCACTATAGAGGAATCTTAAGGAATCTTTGCCCACCATACTTTTATTTTATTTTTTTTGAGTTAGAGTCTCACTCTGTCACCCAGACTGGAGTGCAGTGGCCGCTCCCGGCCACCGCAGCCTCGACCAGCTGGGCTCTGGCGATCCTTCCACCTCAGCCTTCCAAGTAGCTGGAACTACAGGCGCGCGCTAACACGCACGGCTAATTTTTTATTTATTGTAGAGATGAGGTCTTGCCAAGTTGCCCAGGTGGGTCTTGAACCCGCTAGCTTAGGCAATTCACTCACCTCGGCCTCCGAAAGCGTGGGACTACAGGCTGAGCCACTGAGCCCGGCTCCACCATACTTTTCAAATGGCTTACTCCCAGACCCTCATCCAACCCCAATGACAAAAGCATGGCTTCGAGCAAACAAACCTGGGGTCCTGTCTTAGCTTTATACTGACTCTATCACACTAGGAAAACCAGTTCAGTTAAACAGATACTGTGTGCCTAAAATGTGCAAGAGAAATGCTGATAAATTGAACAAGATGTGTTCCCTGCCCTCCACAGGCTCTGTGTCCCAGTTTTCCATATTCACTTAACTTTACAGAGTGCCCAATGTATGCTGGCACTGAGGATATAATGGAGAACAACTCAGATATGGTCATCCATGCGTTCCCGAAGCATCAATTGAGTGAAAATAACAAGTATAGCACTGTGCCAGAGTTATTAAATGAAGGATGTAGAAATTAATTTGGAAGGGAGGGTCAGGGGAAAACTTCCCGGAAGAAAGCAAACCTATACTGAAACCTGAATTAAGCTTACCAGACAAAGAATAAAGAGGGCTAACTCTCTTTGAGTTTTAAGGAAGGGTCAAATGAAAAAAAAAATGTAGGTGTGCACAAACAAGAATGAAATACATGTGTCCTGCACGTTAAAAACACACACACACACACACACACACACACACACACACCTCTTGAGCACTCTGCTTTTAAATCTCTTGGCCATTCTGTCACTTCTGTTGGAAAATATTTTCTTCCTGCTCATTTTGGTGAATTCCGTCTCTTATGGGCCGAACTGTGTGCCCCCACTACCTCAGAATGTAACTGTATTTGTAGATCAGGTCTTTTAAAGGTAAGTTAAAATGAGGTCATTGGGGCGGGCCCCAACCCAACCTAGCTGATGTCCTTATCAGGAGGAAATATGGATACAAAGAGAGACTCCAGAGATGCCAGAGCATAAAGGGAAGTCTGTGTAAGGAAACAGCAAGAAGGTGATCATCTAACACCAGGAAAGAGGCCTCAGAAGAAACCAAGCCTGACAACACCTTCATCTTGAACCTCCAAAACTGTGAGAAAACGCAATTTATGTGGTTTAGGCCACCCGGTATTTCGCTACGGCAGCCCTGGCAAACTAACACATCTACTCGAGGCCCAACATTGCGCACCTCCAGAGTGAAACCTTCCTTATCACCCACAGACACCCACCCCGAGGTTAGTGCTTCCCACAAGACTCTGTTCATCCTCCATGCAGCTCTCATTCATTCATTCACGCCACGCAACCGCAGCGACCACCGCCGCATGCCAGACCCCGGCTTGAGGGCTGAGAACCGCTGTGTTTACTGAGCACTGACTTAGCACTGACCACGTGGTGAGCGCTTCACATGCACCAGCTCAGGAAATCCTGCAAGGCCCGACGAAGCCGGTACCGGGTGACACGCATTTTACAGACGCGGGACAGAGGCACGGAGAGGCCATGCGAGCACGAGACCGAGAAGGCCATGGGCTCTGCAGTCCTAAGCACCACTCTCGACTACAGCGTGGGGTAAACAGCAGGCGGGAGAAGGCCAGGGCGGGCGAGGCCGGGCGCGGAGAGGGCGCAGGGCTGTTTGCAGGCCGCGGGAGCGGCACGAGGGTGCAGGCCCGGCCCCGGCCCGAGGCCCGGCCTTCTGCGTTTCGCTCGGCCTCCCCGCGTGTCGGCACCGAGCACACCCTCGGACTCGCAGGAGCCGCCGGCTCTCCGCGGACCCCCGCGGGCCCCCGAGATGCAGAGGCGGCAGCGGGGGCCGGGATCCCCTCGGGGCCGCTCCCACCCGCGTCTCCCCTGCGCGCCTTCGCGAGGCTGGCCTCCCAGCCCTCGGGCACCTTACCCCGGAGGCCGCG